TCTTCTGCAAAGTTCAAAGAGCTGGCGACACTGGGGCCACACATACCCACATGGCAATTACAGAGTGTTACACACACACACACACACACACATGTGTAAAAGGGAACTGTGTTTTACCAGCCCACTGGCCCTGCCCCACCCTGGCCCCTTGGGCATTTGAATTTACCCATTGCTCTAAGACCATGATTCTCTTGTTTCTATATTTCAAAAATAATCAACTTTGAACTTTCTGCCATTTCAGATTGAAGTTTCTATTGGATTTATGTATTCTTTATATGCTAGATTAATATCAGATTTAAATCAAATCAAATCAAAGTAAACAACAGTACCAAAAGCACAAGTCTAGATGATGTCATTATTAGATTTAAACTTGTCCTTCAAATTCACAACACTGCCATTAGACCCCAAATAGAATTTCACCTTTACCGTTCCCTTTGATAGAGGACTGCTCTGTCCCCGTTTACCTTTGCAAAGTATTTTATGCTTTTGACTCTCTCCCTTATTAAACCCAGATGCCCAAATACTTTTTTTTAAAGATTCTTTTTATTTATTTGAGAGAAAGAGAGAGATAAAGAGAGCATGGGTGGGCGGGCAGGGAGAGGGAGAAGGAGAAGCAGGCTCCGCACTGAGCAGGGAGCCCGATACGGGGCTCAATCCCAGGACCCCGGGATCATGACCTGAGCTGAAGGCAGACACTTAACCGACTGAGCCACCCAGGCGCCCCAACCCAAATATTTTATAAACAAAGCTGCAAGGGTAATCACTGTGCTCACTTCCCGTGGCCTTTCCTCTTTTGTGAGGTGGCAGCACCCTGGTTCCTTCCCTGAGGAACCACCACCGCCAACCCAGGTCAGATTTGGGCCCATGACCCAGCCAGGGCCGGTGAAAGTTGGCTCCGAGGCTTTGGTTGTGATCAGTGGGGAGGAGAGGCTCCCTCCTGGGTGAGCTGCTCCTATGATGGAATGTACACTGGAGATACTGGAGGCCACTTTTGCCACGACAAGTGGGTCATTTGCCTGGGAAAGGAGCAGAGGGAAGCAGACCAAGAAATGGAGAGAGATTCTAGCCGGTGCTGTAAAATCCAGTACCCACGAGCTCCATGTGGCTACATGTAAATCACGTGAACCTAAAAATTCAGCTTCTCAGCTGCACTGGGCACATCTCAATTATGCAGCAGCCGAGTGTAGGCTAGTGATGACTGTTTGGAATGAGCAAATATAGGACATTGCCATCACTGCAGAGTTCTACTGGACAGCACTGCAAGACCGTACCTGTGCCCTAGTTCTAGCCTTGGTTTTTCAGCTATGTAGCCAATAAAGCTTTGTATTTCAGCAACTGGAGTTGGGTTTATTCACAATCCACAGAATCCAAAGGCAGAAGCCTCCAATTAGCACTCTCCAGACATGACCGTGCACATGCTTTAGGTTTCATTGCGGTGTTTTCCTTCCCTGGAGTCAGTGCCAGAAAAAAGCCTCCCTGGGTCCAGAAGCGTGGTTAGGCAGATGACACCCAGGAATACTCCTGCCGGTTCACCATTCCCAACACTTCTTCAGTTAGAAGACAAGCAAAGATATAGAACGGACGGATGTTGGACACAGATGTCTTTTCTAAGCACCCGTCCGTGTTTATCAGCCTAAGAATAATTAGAACCATGGACGACTTAGAACAAAAGCAGTTTCCCCCACTAGCAAGTGTTACAGGGCACCTGGCTAGCTCAGTCGGAAGAGCATGTGACTCAATCTGGGGGTCATGAGTTCAAGCTCCATGTCGGGTGGGGATTACTAAAAAAAAAAAAATCAACTTAAAAAAAAATGTGTGGGGCATCTGGGTGGCTCACTCGGTTAAGCGTCTGCCTTTGGCTCAGGTTATGATCCCAGGGTCATCCCTGATCAGCGGGGATCCGGCTTCTCCCTCTGCCCCCACCCCGTGTTCTCTCCTACTTGCTCTGCTCTCTTAAATAAAAATCTTCTTTAAAAAATGTTTTGGGGAGCCTGAGTGGCTCAGTTAAGGGTCCAACTCTTGATTTTGGCTCAGGTCATGATCTCGGGGTCGTGGGATCGAGCCCCGCATCAGGCTGTGTGCTCAGCATCGAGTCTGCTTCTCCCTCTCCCTCTGCTCCCCCTCCCCCGCTTGCTCTCTCGAGCTAATAAAAACAAACTTAAAATTTTTTTGAAGTGTTTTTACATCAGCAGTGTTGAAATAAACCAACATGCTGTTACCCCTGACATGGTACAAGGAAGATGTAACATCATATATGTGGTATTCTTGCCCAAAACGCGTTAACTTGAATTTGAACAGATAAACCCCATTGGGGGGTGAATGGAATGTTTTAGTTCCATACCATTGTTTCATGGATCCTGAAACCCAGAGATAAGTATCAGGTACTGAATGCAACATAATCTGTACCAATCAGTGATGTGAAGAGTTCTATGTAGATGACGTTGAATTTTTACTCTGAGGATTTTCAATGTTTTTAAATTTGAGGAAGGCATCAGGATTATCCTCCACCCTGGTTGACAGAGTTAGTGCAGAGATCAGCTAAGCCAATGACAGTGATGAATTTGGGATTAGAAATAGCTCTGTAGGAGCGTCTGATCTATCTCAGGGCTTTTCCTTCGTCCAGTATAAACCGAACCCTATCTGTACGGGCAATGCCACACAGGGTGGTAATAAAGAGGACTAAGTGAATTTGAATCTCAGAAGATAAACGGTGCCATTACAAACTACTCTGTCGTGTGGCAAATCATTTTACTGCAAATGAACTCTGCATGAGTATCACACATAACCTCTCACACAATCAGAATGACTACATTTAAATGCCATCTTCCTGTACATAATCATATGCTCATACAGAGTTGCAGTCAATGTATACAGAATTTGGTGTTATCTTTTAAAAATTAAAAAGTTAAGGAAGCCAGGATATTGTTATAACTTAGCAATTTTCTTCCTACTCATTTTGTATCATGGGTGATTGGTAAATATTTGTCGGGTGACTTTTCATATATTTGCAAACAAGAAAGTAGCCTTTATACAAGTCTATCTTTATTTGTAAAAAATAATATACAACTAAAGCTAATTTGATTTTTAAAATCGAAGTTCATTTAGTGATAATGTACATTTTATAATAAAATTGTAGTAAAATACTGACATTTGATAGTTTAAACAAAGTATCATTCATGTAAAAATCATGTTGTCGCATGTAAAATTTAATTAGAAAATTCATAGTTCACAAAAGTACATATATTTTGTTGATAGCTCATGAGAACATTATCGTAAATTTACTCAAGATACAGAACAAAATTCACAGTTAGGCTTGACATTTAGTACTATAAAATTTTATGCTGAATCCACTGATATTTCTGTTAATAAGGTACACTTGGAATAACTGAGTCAGACTACCAATGAACTGACATTTTATTGTATAACCAAGATCTATTGGTTTTACAATACGTCTAGTAATCAATTATTTCACCAATAATTTAAATGAGAAATCTAGTTTTAACACCACTGACATATACCCTTAGCAGGATAATTAAAATAAAAAGCACTAGCAGCTTTGATGCCCATTTTTATGAGTACATACAAGACAATCTGTACTTTATAGTTAAAATTTGTACAAAAAAGTCAAGCCCTGAAGTATTTTTCCCCCAAGAGAAAATTTCGGATGTTAAAACTGTTAAAAAAAAGAGAAAGAGAGAGAGAGGTAGTGTGTGAAAGGATTTTTACTTAAAATGTTGAACCCCTGCACCACTTATAATATAAATGATATTTAACCTACATGTTAACATTTTGCCATCCTAGAGTCAAATCTCTACCTCACAGAAGGTTAAAGCTGGAATGCCATTTAACAAATAGTGGTATAGAAGTGGAAGAACTTGGGTGAATTCAACAAAAAAGTACATTGCATTACATAATGTTGTGCAGTTAATAGTTCAGTGATAATCTGTTTAGTGGTAAGGTGAGCAAAATATGTTAAGTATTCTGAGTCAAGTGACCTTCCTTCAGTCCAAGACTTCTTCATTTATCTTTACCACAGAGCGAAAATATCCTTCAAAACGGAGTCACTTAATTCTTCATTGTTTCTATAGCACGCAACTGTTACAAAGGTACCCATTCTAGCCCTACCATAAAATTAATAAATAACTCTGAGAGAAATAGCCATAAGCCACAGGGAACTTATGTGCTTCACATGATCCTGGGTTTCTATATACAGGCCTAATACAGTGCCCATGCACGTTGTACAGGGAAATCAGGCGAGGAATGGAAGTCAGCAGCCTTACCCTTCACTTGTTCTAAGTGGATGCACTGGAAAGTAATAAATAGCCTCATAAAATTTATAGCAATAAACTCTACCTGTCCAAGGTGAATACTCTGTATTTTTTCATAAAGTGTAGGCAGTGTTCCTAGAAATCCCATTAAGGAAAAACCAAATTACCTCATGTAAAAAAGTGCACAAGTTTGTCCTGTGTGTAAAAATCTCTTAATTTGGGTGCATTTTTTAATCCAAAATGACTCCTACTACTCAAATATAATAGCAGAATATAAAAGCACACCAACAAAACGCAAACCAACAACGAAAGGAATGATTTCCAATGAGATGGGAGTGCGGGTGAGAGATTAAGGGAGTCTCACGTATTACGAGCTGATGGAACTGCCTTTTGCAACATTAAGTTATATGCATATGGAATGAGTCTGTAAATGTGAAAGCTATAGGATGAACAAGCTTTGAACTTGAACAACTGTTACAGTTTAATTCAGGAACATGGTTTCAATGCTTTATGACACAGGAAGCAACTCCCAAAAACAGGCAATTGATTTCTTAGATATTAGAGGGAAAAAAAAGCATTTGAAAAAATTACTTGTAACAATTAGCAACAGAGGAACATTAAAAAATCAAAATAAAATATAGGGAACACAGGAGCTGAGGTCCCCAAGGTTACCAAAGGACAGATCAGACTTCTTCACATTAGAATTTAAAAAAATATAGTTAAAGGAAAAGCTAACTGGGCTCTGCACAGCAGGTTAAATATGCAACCACTTCAAATGGAAATGATCTGGTCCTCTCATAGCTCTGAGAATGTGTGCTAACATCCAGTTCTCTAGAGACAAAATAGCAAGCGCCATAATTTCATTAGCAAAGGCCCCTTTTAGACTTAAACTCACCTCTGACAAACCAAAGTTTATATTAACAATTATCAAACTACTATTTTAATAACATTTTAGGCTTGCAATATTATTTTTCTCATGCCTACTCCCGGTCACTGGTTCAGAGGTATATATGCTTTAATAAACTAGCCAAATTTACAAGTCCCAATGGCATCCTCACTCCAAAGACATTCAGACAAAGGTTTCATAGTGTTATGATCGTTCCATCTTCTTCTAAGAGTTTTTGATCCGGAGCATGTGTTTCTGTATTTGTGCCACTTGCTACAGGTGCTAAGCTCACTTCATTAGAAGGAATAAAACCGTTCTGTCCAGACTCAAAACTGAGTTCTATTTGCGTTAATGATTCAAGGCTCTCGGTATTAGGAACAGCTTTAGGAATCTGCTGCGGCACTCCGTTATCTTCAATAATAATGTCATCTTCATCACTGTCTTCGTCCTCTGGCTCAAAGCTCGGTTCTACCTGCTGGGGATAGCCCAGGAGGCTGTTATCTGTGGACTGGCCAGAGCTGCCAGAAGTCCGACTGTTCCGAACAACATTATTCCTCTGGTTTGCTGGTCTCACTGTTATAATGAGGTTGCGGCTGTTGGCGATCATCATGTCTGTTACTTGATCAAGACTCTTCCCTGAAACTTCTATGCCATTAACTTCTAAAACTTCATCATTAACAGCTAATAGTCCTGTGCTTTGAGCCAGGCCTCCTGGGACAAGTCTGGATATAAAGATCCCTGGGACCTTCTCTAAGCCATGCGGTGTGACCCTGACACTGGAGCCATCCCGGATGTAGAACCCTAAGGGTTTCTCAGTGCCATATTTGTAAAGACGAACCCTACGATGTGTTTCTGGGAGAATATCCACGTCTATAATAGAAGACACAGGTCTGAAGTCTTGGGGCATACTAATGACTATATGTGGCTTTTTTCTATGGTTGTCAGGACGCAATACATTGGTTAAAACATTCTTCTTCTTTATTAGTGTGTCTGTACCAAAGGCACTGTAGTCTGCTTCTTCTGTTTAAAAACAAAATAATTACAGAAATTATGTAAAAACACCCATTTTATCTACAGCTGAATCTATACAGAAGAGGTAACTCACATGTATTTGGTACATAAACAATTTAAATATTAGCTTATTCTAATCAGATCAAAATGTAGCGCAGTAATAAGATCTGCTGTACCAGAAGGAAACCACTAGGTGGCCCTCTCAAGCACATCGTAAAATCCCAAATGTCGAATCTGATAAAGCTCAAGGACTATTTAACAACAGTTAAGAGGGGAAAATGAAATTCTGATAAGCTTACACACACATTTTTAAACATCATTTCAAATGAGTTACTTAAAACGTATCTTTCCTTCATTTGTTAAGAAACTCCAGGTTGCCTATTTCTTAACTCAACTCAATGATATAAAATGGGACACTTTTGATTCCCAAGGTAAATCAAGGGAACGAACCTGTACTACAGGCTGGTGAGGCAGATAATGCAATTAAATGAAACAGACAGCATGCATGAAATGATAATGTAAATTAGATGAATGTGTATCTACAACTTAGGAATTTTGGTCTTCTGCGAATAAACATTCTCCCTCAGTTTTCCGGGGGAGTTCTTAATCTTCCATTTCCCCACTTTTGAAAAGACGCTGAAGTCTAAGATTTCACTTTTTCCTTCACTGTGTGAAAAACAAAGAAGTGCAGAGGGCCCTTTCTCGGCGGTGGTACTGCAGACAACACGGGAGTGGGAGGACTGGCCAACTGGAGCGCTCAGGCCTCACGTAATGGCACCGCGGGGCCATGCTCCGGGCAGTCTTCCTTCCACTATAGGAATCTGTGTGGCCAAATCCCATTGGCCACGGAGCCCTGTTTTTTAAGTAAAAATTTTCTCGTTTTTAAATGCTGACTCCTAATTAAATAACAACAAAAACCAGTTTGAGTCAAACAACAAGGGAGGGTTGCATACATGCTTCCAGCCAGCAATTTATAATCTCTGATGTAAACTAAGGGAAAACAGGGCACCTAAAACCAGATCCACCTTCTGAAATCATACTGCTGAAGGAAAATACCTACAAACAGAACACCTCATTAGAGAATGAGAGGTTAAAAAAAAAAAAAATGAAATTAACATCAGGTGCAAAACTTGAAATCATGTTTCAAAAATAACAAAAGAGGAGAAACTTAAAAAGTCAGAATCTTCAAGGATAAAAATATATTTTAAGAACAAAGGAGACAAAACCCCCTCCCTCAAAGAACCGGTTCAAAATCCTAGTCTCTGCTACTGCTCCAGAATAAGTACTATGACCTACTGTGATTGTACAGGGTCCAGTTTATATTTTTTCCTTTGACTCTCACACTCTATTGATAAATATTATCATCTTTACTCTATAAAAACCAGGAAATTAAGGGTACAAAATAATGATTAAGAGTACAAAATACAGAGAAAAGACTGGACCTTAATTTTCTTACTAGGCCAATACCTTACACATTCACAGAATGAGTATTAAGTGCCAGGTGTGTGTCTGAGTATGTAGAACTTTTTCTTCTCGTGCTGCTTCAACATTCTTCAAAAGCTAGTTGCAGAGAAATGTACAAGACTAGGGGTACCTTAATTTTTGGCATTTTCCCCCCTCTGGGTATAATTCTTTCTTCATTTATAAAGTATGTATATATACCCAGTTCTTACAGAGACAAATTTATTTATAATTTGGCTTTGGAAATTAACTCACTGATACAAGAATCTTTTTTGGCAACATTTGACCAAAAGCCTATCAACGATAGTCTTCTACTGAATGTGTTTTCTCAGAAGTATGTATTTTCCTTTTGAATCAATCAATTAAGAAAACCCACATAAGATTTATAAGGAAAATTCCAGACCATACACACTTGAGAACAAAATTAAGTTGCCTACATGGGAAACCTGACCAAAACAACAACAACAACAACAAACCCAAATCTGCATAATTTGGCATCGCATCCAGACTGTTTGAATGCTCTCTGCTAAATTCTCAAAAGCAATATGCCCCAACACAAAGGCACCTTTGTTCTCCCATCTAGCTAATCAGTTTCCAGCCACTGGGAAAAGAAATATTTTGGCAGAAAGCCAGGGTGCAGAGTGTTAAAGTGTAAAGGTGACCGTCCACAGGGAACTGGGAGTTCACTTTCTACCTGAGTCTGTGTGTCGAAGTCCTAAACTCAGAATAAGATGAAGTTTGCAAACCTGGTTCACAGCAACGTCCCCAGCTGTAAAAACCCAGGCTTATGCAACAGTACATGATAAAGGCTTAGACAGCAATCCCTCCCTTATCCCAAGCCTGCCCCTCAGCCACAATCTCGGCTGACGGCAATCAACAAGGATCCACTCGGAATGCCTCTGAGGAGCCAAACTGCTTGTCTCAATTCCTTACAAGCAGAAAGCTCCTGTGTTTTACTTACAGAGGAGCCTCGCAGCCACTCCCTCTGGACCTCCTACTCTTTCAACAGTTAATTCCGAAAAGCCTGGTTATCTCATTCCTTAACTCACAGACACACGGAGTCGCAAGTCACAGATTCAGAGCAGGGGGTAAGGGTCCACTAGTGAGTGGCAGGCACAGACACATGAAGTAAAAGCCTACAGTGTTAAAGCAAATCTGGGGGGAAAAAAAAGACAACAAAAACCCAACCCTCATAGAAACCCCATCATCATCCCTGTACAGTAACAAAACAGTAACAGTTCATGGTAGGGTCATTAAGAAAGTTCAAGATTATGACCCATTTGAAGTTCAGCGAGAAGACAGGGAAGAATGAAATAATTTTTGAAATTATTCTATTCAGGGTTGACAACCTTCTCCCCGAAGAGCGGTATGGTAAGTACTCTGGGTACAGCAGGTCATCCAGCCGATAGGTGAAACAGAAAGGAACGAGCAGGGCTGTGTTCCAAGAAAACTTTATTTACAAAAACAGCCAGCAAGCCTTGTTTGCAAACCCCTGTTCTAATCCAAAATGGTTAAATGAACTAAATCTGGCAACTTCAAAAAGGAGTAAACATCACCTAAAGCAATATTCAAAGTATGCAAATCCCTTCACTTCCTAATATAAGAAAAACCAACCACCAAACATTTCAGAAGCACTGCAACTGGGCCAGGCCTTGTGTCCTGTGCTGCGGATTCAGTGAAGAGATAAGCGGGGTGCTTGCTTTCATGGTGCTTACAGTCTACAAGAGGAGATGGCAATTAACACTTGCAATCAAATTATTACAAAGGGGCCAAGGAGGCATGGTGTAGATACACTGCGCTGTGGGAGCCTAGCTGCTTGCAGGGTTAAGGCAAGGCTTCTCCAGGGGAAGTGAGGTTTGTGCTGACTGGAAAAGAAGCCAGTAGCTAATCAGGTAGAAGGGAGGGAAGAATGTTCCCGGCACAGGGTCCAACAAATACAGAGGAGGGCAGGCTGGGGGAGACGAAGAAATCCACTAGGGAGAGAGGGAGGAGGAGCCAAGAGCCCAGTTAGAGGCAGCCAGGGGCCATGCAGACAAACAGGGCCTGGGGGGTGGGGGAGCTAGGGATTATGGACTTTAGCCTAAGGGCAATGCGAAGAAAACTAAAGATTTGGGTTTTTCTATTAAGCTCACCCTGACTGTAAGCTGGAGTGACCCTGAGGGAGATGATTGGGGGTTACTGAGGTCATTCTGGACGGTGCCTGGCCTGGAGAAAAGGCAGTGCTGATGGGGAAACAAATCCGAAAAATAATTAGAACTGTTCCAAGAGGCTGGTGATTGACTGAACAACAGGTATGTGTCACAGGTGACACCCAGGTTTCTGTCGTGAGCAACTGGGTATCATATGCTCTTCTTCAAAATTCAACTGACAATTACGATGCATCTCTTAGAGCAGTTCCTTTTTTTTTTTTAAGATTTTATTTATTTGACAGAGAGAGACACAGCGAGAGAGGGAACACAAGCAGCGGGAGTGGGAGAGGGAGAAGCAGGCTTCCTGTGGAGCAGGGAGCCGGATGCGGGGTTCGATCCAAGAACCCTGGGATCATGTCCTGAGCCGAAGGCAGACGCTTAACAACTGAGCCACCCAGGCGCCCCTCTTAGAGCATTTCTAAATCAAACCCGGAATCATTAAAAAGTAATCTTCAAGGGCGCCTGGGTGGCTCAGTTGGTTAAGCGACTGCCTTTGGCTCAGGTCATGATCCTGGAGTCCTGGGGGATCGAGTCCCACATCGGGCTTCCTGCTCAGCATGGAGTCTGCTTCTCCCTCTGACCCTCTTCCCTCTCATGCTATCTCTCATTCTCTCTCTCAAATAAATAAATAAAATCTTAAAAAAAAAAAGTAATCTTCAAGTACACCTACAAACTAATGTCCACTGCATAGTTCTAAGGACTGAGGTGTCTGCCGAGTGTCTGGGCCACAGGCCGTGTCTCAAGTACAACAACGTGTAAAGCAAGCAAGGCCCTTCCAGGGTTTCCAACAAACTCTTTCTAATAAATCCAAGATGTGAATGCATTTGTCTGATGTCATACAGAAACAGATGGTAGGTAACACAACAAGAAGTTGTGGTGCGGGTATTCTGATCAGATCTGGTGAGGAGTCCATGCACCTCCACGGATCCCAGACTTGGCTGCCCTTCACGACTGGCTGGGAAGCCTCTAAACTCCAAGAGGGGATGGGGGTTGGCAAAAGATCTGGGAATCCTCTTTGTGAACCTAACTTTTCAGATAGCAGGGATTTTGTTTTCTTTGGTTTCTGCTTCCGTGATAATAGCCCTCGAGTGTGGGGTTTTTCTTCTAACAATAAATTATTGTAAGACATAAAACCTTTCAAGATATGCAACGATACAATCTTTGAGTTCACACTATATAATTTATGCATTCAACTGTGAACTTTCACTTCAAAGAAACTTCTATTAGACGTATCAGATTTTAAAAGACCACATGATTTTAAAATTTAAAATGATTTTAAAGTTTTGTTTTTTAAAATCACTTGGTACCATATAAGATTAATTGCTGCCCTACTGATTCCTAAACTGGAATCAACAAGCCAAGAAAACAAAGTGTACTGTAATTAAACAGTAAAATGTTACTATAATGTCATGCTTTATATTACTTTCCTGAATTTAATGTCCACTAAAGTTTACCTAAAATCAGCTTTCTGCTCAAGCATCAGTTGAGCTTTAAAAGAAGTATCACTGTGAATCACATGGCACCACGTTAAGTCTGTTAAGAGAGACAATAAACAAGATAACTCATACTTACATAAGGTAATTCCAGGGCTGATAAAGGTGGGAGGGTCAAAGGGCTTTGGCTAGGGTGGTCCAAAGAGACCCCTTCTGAGGAAGTTATTTCTGTGTGATAAGATCTGAAGGATGAGGAGGGAGCTGGGGGGAGGATCGAGGAGAAAGACAGCAACACGTTCCAAGTCTGAAGACAGAAAGCAAGCCAGCGTGGTAGACTATGATGAGGGAGTAGGGTAACAGAGAAGGATGAGGTTGTGAAGTCTAAAGCAGGAAGGATTTTATTCTGGATGGGGGGTGGGGGGTAGGCATTAAACGGCAATGACTTGACCAGCTTACTTTTACGCTTTCCTTAAGTCATATTTGTATTACATTTATATTTTTATTTTTTATAAAAGATTTATTTATTTGTTAGAGAGAGAGCGTGGGCGAGAGAGAGTGAGCAAGGGTACAAGCAGGGGGAGCTGCAGGCAGGGGGAGAAGCAGGCTCCCTGCTGAGCAAGGAGCCTGATGTGGGACTCCATCCCAGGGCACTGGGATCATGACCTGAGCCGAAGGCAGATGCTTAATCGACTGAGCCACCCAGGCGTCCCTATTTTTATTTTTTTAAAAGATTTTAGGGCACCTAGATGGCTCAGTCGGTTAAGCATCTGCCTTCCGCTCAGGTCATGATCCTAGTTTCTTGAGACTGAGCCCCAAGTTAGGCTCCCTGCGAGCAGGGAGTCTGCTTCTGCCTCTCCCTGCCTTGTGCTCTCTCTCATAAATAAATAAAATCTTAAAAAAAAGCAGGGAATAGAGCAGAGGGAGAGGGAGAAGCAGACTCCCTGCTGAGCAGGGAGCCCAACGTGGGCCTCGATCCCAGGACCCCAAGATCATGACCCAAGCCAAGGCAGATGCTCAACTGACTGAGCCACCCAGGCGCCTATACATTTATATATATTTTTAAAGATTTTATTTACTTATTTGAGAGAAAGACACACACACACACACACACACACACACACACGTGGTGGGGGAAGGGCAGAGGGAGAGGGAGAAGCAGGTTCCCCGCTGAGCAGGGAGCCCTTTGTGGACTTGATCCCAGGGCCCTGAGATCATGACCTGAGCTGAAGGCAGACGTTTAACTGACAGCCACCCAGGTGCCCCTACATTTGTATTTGTAAAAACAGAAATGTTCTGTTGAATGTACTGCCTATTTCTAAATAAAACTTTTTTTTTTAAGATAGGGGGAGGGGCAGGGGAGAGAGAATCCTAAGCAGGCTCACTACGCCCTGTACGGAGCTGACCCAGGGCTAGGGCCTGATCTCACAACCGTGAGGTCATGACCTGAACAAAAACCAAGAACTGGACACTTAACTGAGCCACCCAGGTACCCCTTTCTAAATCAAATTCTAAGGGCTGTTTACTACATTGGACATTTATTTTCTAGGACACAGAAAACTTCTGTTCACATATAAACATATTCAAAAGCAAAGAACAGAACATAACCACCCTTAACAGATGTGAGGGTTAATCCCACAATCATGAAGTGTTACAAAGCCAGTAATAAATAAAAACATGTAGTGGTATACTCAACTTCTATCATCTAACAAAAAAGATAATCCAACAACAGTAGTTTAAAAATAGTCACTCCACACTTGAATACACATTCCAAACAGCAACAAAGTTTTTAATGAAAATTACAACTGCTAAGAAAGGCCTACTCATCAATAATTATTGGTATTATATGCTTAAAGTGACAAGTTCCACATGAATGCTTTGTCTTCTCTCCTCTACCAATGTTCTTTTGTCTCCAACAGTCTGTACACAGCTTCCCAAGGGTCCCTGGTCTTCATCCCTACGAGGCCTTAGGTCTCCTCCAGAGAATTTCTCAACTAGCACTATTCCAGACTTTCAATCTTCTCTGACTGGGCCTCTAGATTTTAATCCAAAGTTCCTGTCTACCATTTCTAATTTCCTAGGTGGCATGGTTAAAACTCACCAGCCAAATATCCTAAAACCAAACCCATTTTCTTTCCAAGCTAATGTCCCTCTTCCAAATTCTGCTTGTTTATGGCACTGTCCCAGCCATCAGACTCGAACCCAGAAAGCTGTTCTCTGTTGGAGTCCCTCTTCAACTCCCCACCATCCAGAGGGGAGCACAGTGAGTCTCAAATATCAGATATGCCCTCTCTAACACTGCCACTTTCGTCACCTGCCTCCTCCACTGGGGCGGCTTCCGAGCTGTCCCCTCACCGCCGGGTCCTGGCCCTCTCCTCTCAGACCACTGCTCACTCCAACTCATCCCCAACAGCCAAATTAATCTCCCTAGATTAACACTCTCATTGTACCACACCACTGTTACGTATCTATGAAATCCACCTCAGGGGTCTCTGGGAAAATCAATTTGTGTGTTTCTAGTTTCTAAGTATTCTGTGAATAATCAAGTGATATGGACATGTTACCCTTGGAAGTTTATTTTTGTTGGTGGACTTTAGTTCCTCCAAACCCAGAAAAGCAAAGCTATATAATCAGTGGAATTTCAAAGCCCTGGGAGTGGTCTAAGGTTTATCAACCGATTGGAAATAAAGTTTCACCTTCAAGGGTAATCCCTACCCACTCTCAAAAATTGCTTTCTGGGTTGGTTTATAAATGTAGTTAAGGCTTTCATTATCCCACCAATACTGAGCTTGCTGCCCTCATGCTGGCTTTCTAAACCTCTTCATTTACCAAAGACAAAGAAATAAATGGCACACATTAGGCCCATGTGCAGACAGGCAACATGGAGGAGGCCACAAAGTTTAAAAAAAAAAAAAATGTTTTAAAATTCAAAACACATTTGAAAATGCTTGCCATACAGGATGGTTATTTCAAATGTTCTTTTGCAAGACTAATATCAGTGTTTAAATTCCTCCACAATAATGACTTGCTATCTAATCTTCCAGATAATTAACTATTTTTATTTCTGTGAAACATTCTAAATAAGTTAACTCTCCTTCAGGTAGTTATTAAGTAGTAAATATGGCACTTGAAAGTCAGTTGCCACCAAAAAACGAGAATCTTAGTCTCTGATTCCAAAGTCACAGTCTTTCTGTCCTATATTTCTGATGGACAAAATTCTATTCAGCAAAGTGAGGATTCGGAAAATAAACTAATTTCTAAAACAATTTTTCCACATAGTGGTACTTACCCTTTTTTTGTATAAAAATCCTAAGCAGTGGATTGGCCGTTGAAACAGCTTTGTGATAATTATCATCATTATTTATAGGGAGTAAGTCTCCATGGATGTCTGCATAGCCTACTAGAACGTCAACATTGGGTATCTTATGAACATGTTGCAGTAATCCATAGAACTCCTCAAATTTTCCAGGTTTTGATCTTTCCAGGGAAAACCGACGAAATTCAGCTCCAAACTATAAATACAATGAACATATTAATTAAAAACAAAACAAGAGTAACAGGACCCAATCTGACAATGCACTCCACAGGAAAATTAACAGGCGTAGTACTTCCCTTAATAAAAAAGACAGTTGCAGTGACACAGTCTATTGTCGGAAATCTCATTATCAGAGATAAAACAGCGTAAGAGAGACACAGGAAAGTGCCTTCTCACTGCTACATCTCGGAAGGGCATTCCCTTCAAGGGATGCAGGCTCCACTCAATCTCTGGGGTTCCCAGGCCTTACTGGGGACTGCCGTGCAGTGACTCAGCTCAAACCCTGTCTGGAGCCCAGATCCTGACAGCAGTCCTCTCCCACCTCAGGCCATGGGGTAAAAAAGATGTGCCCAAGTCTTTATTTTGGCCATTAGCAAAAAGCACCTGAGTTTCTTCCCCCATAAAAGGAATTATGATTTCACAGAAGTGGCAAGAATTAATAGCAACATATAAAAAAGGGACTTTGAGCTTCTTCGCATTAAGGCACACTACAAATGGGAGGTAGATCATCTAAGAAATAGGTCTAGAGATAAGGAGCATCTTCCCTATGAATGCTGGAAAAAAGCTTTGTTAATACATAAAATATACATCCTACAACCATCCAATTAATGCAAGAAGTGTTTGTGTGCTTGGCACAGTGCCCGAACCCTACAGACGGAAAGGCCCAGGCCCACAGCAGGAGCTCACCCATGAGTGGGTGAAGAAGACAAAGACATCAGAGAGGTATTAAGGGACCACAGAAACACCTCTATCATGCCCCATTCTGATTCCTCCTCTAGAATCACGCCTCTGCTCTCCAAATGCCAGATTATTAAAGTGGCACTCAGGACTGGCTTCATCTGGTCCCTGATAAACAGGATCTATGACTTACTATGGGCCCAGCGTGGCATTTCCTCCAGGTGGAAACCTAGGTAAGGTTAATCAACCTTCCTCAGAAAGTGTCCCAGCCACGTTTAGGAAATGCTACAAAACCATAATCACATTCTTAGGAATCACTGTGAGACCAGATATTAAAGACTCAGTTCAGTCCTCCAGTTGATTTTTTTTTTTAATTTTAAACAAATGTTTGCCAAATGTGCTCAACCACTGAACTCGTTTTTCTTCTAAATATCTACTATTAACAAGAAATACTAATGTATTCTAATGTAATACTAACACAGCCTTAAGCATCAAGCAGACAAAGTCCCCACCAGAGTAATTTGAGCAGGTTACAAATGTGTCAGTTTCTCTTCCCAAGGACCTATGACTATCTGGAGTCACTGCATCTGTTACACAGCAGAAGTTCATCTGCCTTGCTGATACCCACACTACTCATCAGTATTAAATTAAAAATTCACTAAAACCACCTCTTCTAATCAGTAAGAGTTTCCCTTAACCCATTCCTGAAACATAAACAACAACACTTGTCAAGAATATCAGGTGACTCATACCTAAAACTCTCAAAAAAGTTTAGTCACACCTTCACGTTTCAAAGTAAATAAAAACTCGGCAACACCCTTCACATCAGAGCTAATCTTATGATGTTATCAAAAGTCACAGCTTCTCCTCCACGTTCTTCATTCTGGTATCACAACCTAAAGCTCCTAGTGCTTCGATTCCCGCCAGGGTTTACCACTTCTCCAGGTACGTCAGAGTACCATCTAACACTGGCTGGAACATTTTAGGGCTCCAACATGACTGCTAAAGCTTTTGGGTGAAAATCCTTTGCTCAACATGTTTTTCTCTTCCTTAAATGTTATGATAAAAACAATGAAAAACTGTGTGACTTCACAGCAGATGTGCCCTTTTGCAAATGTTAGCAGAAAACAAAATCAAACAAGAGAAACTGTTATGCTTCTTGCAGAAAAACAATAGGATTAAGAGAACGTTTTACTACACATGAAGAAAAATACTAAGAGATAAAATTAAGACCCAGTCAACAACTATTCACTACGTGAACCATTTATAACTCTTACGAAGGCCAGTCTAGTTGTCTTGGGCACCCAGGATGTGTCCGTTCTCCCAGGATCTGCTGGGACAACAGATACCCTTCTCCCAGCATCTGTTGGTACATTCAAGAAACCGCAAAGTTAATTTTACTACTGTATGCCCATGAATAATAATTAGAAAATGTACAGCCCAAAGACTGTTCCAAGGTTATTAAAGGATACCACCTTCATTATTAAGAACTTTCCCAGCTCTGCTCAGATAATACAGCTGACCCTGTTTTCTATGCAGAAGAAAAAGAGATCCTGAAATGTGGATCTGCACATCACCTGGTTGTGGTTACAACCTCTTGACCATCAGTTTTGTAAAAAGCTGTGATATTTCCAAGGCAGCTGACAAAGGGAAATATTGTTTGAAACATCTGTCCAAATACTTTTTAAATGATAAAGATGACAAGTGTTTTGTTTAATCCACTAAAAATAAATGTTGTCAACAATATCTATTTAAAACACAAGGTGTCACAGACACAAAAAACAGTACCTAATATTGTGTCTATTCACCAACATCGAGAACAGAGGAACCACACTTCATTCAGTGCAGGTTCTCAGAATGCCTTGATTCTATTTACAACTGCAGCACAGCAGCTCAAATATATAACATGTAGTATCAGCTGACAGAAGAGAAGGGGCAGAAAGCCTGAAATTCCAGTCCCAGAGTGCTCCGGGTTTCTAGTTCAGGAGATAAATTACTGTTTGATTGTATTTATCAGTGCACCTAGAATCTCTACTCATGTTTTCCTATGATGACTTAAAAAAGACTTGCTACCAAGATTAGGAGCACAAACTGAATTTTAAGATTATGCAATAACCTAAGTGTTTTTCTTTTCTTAACCTCAACCCCCACAGACGCAAACTAGATTTATGACAGAAATGCCTGAGAAAGTTCAACCACTGGGCACAGAACCACTACCGCCGCTATACTGCTCGAGGGAAAACCCTGTACATTTGGAGTCATCTTAACCCTTAGCTCAAGCACATCTCTTCCATCTGCTCTGGCAGTTCCACGGAGGACACAGGGAAGAGCACATTCCTTAAATTGCTATAATTACATTTCTTTTCTTATTAAAACAGAACGGTTTCTGTGGAACTACTCCCTAGCCTGATGCTAAGTCACAAACCATTTAAATGATGCTCAAAATGAATGCAGATATTCCTGAGGCGAAGACCTCAGCTACAGCAGCTTACAGAACTTTGCTTATCAACTCTAGATAATAAAGCCATTCCACCCACAGGCTCTAGGGAGCTCTCCTTACTCTACTTCACTCAAAACCACTCCCTGATTTTGGATTTGCCCTAAATAGTCTTATAGTCAATGATGTTTCATCATTTTGAAGTTGACATGCTCGTACTGTTCTCCCATTCTTGCATGTGTTTTGGTTTTCTTAACTATGTTAAGTGTTCTCAAAAACAGTTTTATTCTATAGAGTCTAGACGTTATTCTGTAAGAAGGCTTCCAGGTTTTGTCATAAAAGCAGAGCCTGGCGACCCCTTTCTGATCCCTCCATTTTCCGGAGAATCAAATTAGATCTAAACTCCTTTGGCTCTTCAACTCATGAAACGCTTGCTGAAAATGTTGCTGTGGTTGCCGATCCCCTTCAAATTCCACCCAAAACCCCCTTCCGAAAACATTCTTTACCTAATCCCTATAGACTACCCTGCTCAGGGAGCCTTGCAATTTAGGAATTCAGCGGATACGGACAGAATTCAGCAGACTGGCATACCGTCGGTGAAGAAGGAAAACACTTGATGTGAAAAGGTAGCACGATGGAATGAAAAGAGCATCCAGCCTCAAACTGTAAAGGGCTACTCAAACGAAGGGTGGTAGTGTTAATTTTATAGATTAAACGCATACCAAAGTTAGTGCCGAAGAAATCCCCAGCAGGAAGCAAAGCTAACTTTAAAAGGGCTCTTTAGTGCACTGGCCTCTCCCTTTCACCACTCGATGCACCCTTGAACCACAGAAAGGGGTAACATTTTGTGACCACGCGTGTTCCAAATACCTTTTACTAATAGACCAGGAGCTAGAATTTCCCCCAAAGCTTTCGTACCACACTGCGCTCAGACGCCTCCCATCCCTGAACGGCAATGAGATTCAAGGAGATTTAAGTGCTCCACTGGTCTTCCCACCTGGGCCAGAAACGAACACAAGGCCCCTCCTTCGCCCCCTTCTCGGCCAGTTTCCTATCCACCACCTCCTGTCTCCAAATCCCACTGCCGAACCCCCCCCGCGTTGCAGACACCCGGGCAGCCCCCCCAGGCCGCCCCGGCCAGCCCCCCGGCCTCCCCCAGGCCCGGCCCCCATCAGCCGGCCGCTCCGCCCAGCACCGGCCCCGCGCACCTTGCTCTTCACCTCCATGGTGCCCAGGCAGCCGCTGCCCGCCCCGTGCCGGTGGCTGCGGTTCATGCTGACGCCGGGCCCCGCAGCGGCCTCCTCCGGCCGGGCCGCCCCTTGGGAGCGCAGGGAGCGAGTGCGCGGCCGGCGGGTTGGGGACGCGGATGCGGCCCGGGCGCCTCCTCACAGGCACCTGCAGAGGGGCTCGGCCGGGGCTCGGGCTTCCGCGCAGAGCTCCGCTCGGCTGACTCCTCACGCAGCGGGACCGAGGGTCGGACTGGCTGCGCGGCGAGCGGGGACGCGACTCCCTCCCTCCGGGCCTCGGCGGCGGCCGCGACGGCGGAGGAGGAGGAGGGGGCGGAGCAGAGGCGACAGGCGCCGCAATCTCGCTCTCGGCCGCCTCCCCCGCAAGCTCGCGCGCGCGCACCCGAGCCGGGCGGGAGCCGCGGCGCGCGCGCGCGCTCACCTGCAGCCTCCGCCGAAGCCTCAGCGGCTCGCGCCCCGCCCCACCCAATAGGAAGCGCGCACCTGCGCCAGCGTCGCCAACCAATCGATACACGCTTCGCGAAGCGCGTGGGCGGATCGCCTTCTCAAAAATCCCGCCCACCGCCGTGCGATTGGCTCCGCGCTGCGAGGGAGGGGTGGGATCACCTGAAGCCTTGGGCCCCCTCTCTGGATCTAGCAGGAGAGCTGGAAAGCGCATGCGCGGGCTCTGGTGTTTCCGCCTTGGAAAGGCCGGCCGGAAGCGCGAGCGCACCTGGAGAGGAGCTGGGGCGGGTGCCTTTTGCGCAAGCGCAGGCACGCGCCTGACGGCCCGTCCCGGCGAGAACGCGCCCGGCTGGGGTTGGATCGCGCTGTCCCGCTGGTCGTAGAAGCGCGGTGGATATGTTCGGTTCCCGGCGCCCCCCACCCCGCGTTCACTTTGGGGTGCTGCAGCGTGCAGCAACGACCCTCCGCCACCCAGTTGGGTCGTTTAGGCGTCCGGCTGCAGCTCTGTTTGCAAAATAAAAGTTTTCCCGCCTCTGCAGCAGTTACTAGGGGAGAACATCAGGGCTCTTCAGGCTTGGTTTTGTCCGTAGAGATTTTTCTGCAATCCGCCAGGTCCTGGGAGGTCGAGAGGGCGCCGCGAGTGGGGAGGGAAAGTGAGCTGAGGTCCAGGATGGCTCCCCTCAGGTCCGGCTTTCCTGAGGACTTCTAGACCGGCCCGCCCGGGCTTTCTTTTTTCTTTGCTTATTTTGTATTTATATTTAACCTCTGAAGTCTTGTCCCTCCTCTAGCCATTTCTTGGCTGATTGCTGTTTCCACCAACGGCAGCCTCTGGATAACGTTTTCTCCGAGTGTAGTGATAAGAGTTGTGTCCTTGATTATCAAGACTGAGCCCTTTGCTCTAAATGCCCCAGAGTCAGGTTTCTCCTAACGGGGACGCCGTTTAGCATTGGCCATGCCGGGGGGGGGGTAGCTGGGGGGGTGGAGTGGGGAGGAGACCTCAAGTCCCCCCACCCACCTAGAAGGACCCACTTGACCCCTCCTCTGAGCTGACCTGGGTTTGAGGTGGCTGGAGGGATGTCTGAGATGGCCGGGAGGAATTGGTTAGGGCGCTTCATTCCACCTGAATCCTCAGAGCCTTCCTTCCCCTCATCTGCCTACCTCAAATCCCTCCTGACGCCTTGTACATCCTTCCCAGCACTAGTGCGACAAGTTTCAGTTTTGTCATTTTTTTGGAGTCATCTGCCCTCCACCCTAGAACGAAAGCACTGAGGAGGCAGGGACTACAACTCACTTCTGAGCGGGTAGCGTGGTACCTGACTTCCTAGCAGGTACTCAGATACAGCTTTGCTCGGTGCTGGTGCTGAGGGAGTGTGGTTTCTTCATGCTAACTTTGCCCCACCTGGGCTCAAAGGTGAGAAGTCCATCTTTCCCCGGGGTGGGTGGGTGGGGGGAGGGTTTCAGTTCACTAAGTGTTTGTGGGGGGAATTTAAGGTTTTTCTGGCCATTTTGGATGGAAGTACAGATGGAAAGGACTCCATCCCAAGCTGAATAAGGCTGTGGCCTCCACCCCTTGTTCAAAAGCGCCTGCTATGTGACTCAAGCTGTGCTGGACATGAAGTGCGGTGTTGTGATGGGGCAGCTCCACAGTTTGGTCTCAAGACCCCTTAAGGCCCTTAAAAATTATGGAGGGCCCCCAAGTATTTTGTTTATGTGTTATGTCTTTTAATATTCAGTGTATGAGAATTAAAACTGAGAATGTTTAAACACAAGAACACACAAGCACACATTCCAGGAGTCATCAGGGTGACTTCATCACATGTCATGTCCCTTCTGGAAAACACCACTGGATACCTGTGAGACAATGAGGGTGAGAAGAACAAGTGACATGTCAATATTGTGAAAATGGTTTTAGCTTTGAGAATCCCCTCAAAAGATCTCAGGGACACCCAGGGCGCCCACTTGAAGAACCGCTGAGTAGAAAACATGTCACAGCCTTTAGGAATCTTTATTCTCAGCTGTGACCCTCCACTCCCCAACTGTCAGGGCCATGCCCTGGAAGCCGGGGCCCCGGTTCAGTGGGAGCAAGTATGGTGTGGTTGAGCTTTATTACTGTTATCCATACCAGGCCCTTTTCAAGAGGAAGTTCATGGATGCCAACATACCTGCGTGGGCCCTGCATTCCTGGAGGTATTGTCATGTCCTCTCTCCCCTCCTCCGGGTGTGGTATCCCTCTTGGACTTTCCTTTCTAGAAGGGAGGGCCAGGCCCGGAGCTTCCTGGATCTCCTGAGTGGAATTTGCCCTGAGCCCTGCGTCACAGGTGCGCCTGAGCTGTGTAAGGAAGGAATGTGGAAAAGAGTTTGAATTTGATAAAGGTGTTGTGGGGGAGGGGAACCTTTTCATTCAGAGAGCTGTCGTGGCCTCAAGTTTGTTGGAAGGGCCTGAATCTCAGCCGTACTTGAGAAGCATGAAGCCCAGAGCCACAGCAGAGGAGGGTTTATATTTCTGTTTCTTTAGTTCCCAGACTGAACCCTAATCTCATTTCTCTCAGTCATCCCTCCCCACCCCCAAATCCTCAAGCCAAAGCTGATCAAGGCCTTCGTGTGGAATGAAAAGCTAGTCCTATGCCTGGGAGAATTAGTCCCCAGGGCCTTAGTAGATAAGTAAGGTGAGTATGACACGGACTCGATAAATTATAGGTTCTCAAAATCATTAGTTGGGAATGGGCTACCACTGATTATCACACCCACACACACTGTCAGGTTCTTCCAGCCTGTTTCCACCCTCTGAAAAAGCCAGTGAGGGTTACCTCTGTGCTGCATCCCCCTTTTCAATCAATACTTCTGTCTTCAAGTTCTACAACTTAACATGACTGTTATGTTCATTTGGAATCCATCTTGTGAGGTGGAAAGGGACTGTAATTTTCCACGATTAGTTTTACTGATTCATGTCTTATACAATAATACCTCTTTCTTTCCTTCCCCCTCGAACTTGTAGGGAAAAAAAAAAAAGAGGTGCCAAGAAGTCATATATACTGGTGGCGAGATTTTATTCAAGATGTTTCTCTTGCCAGCTCTTTTTCTCCTTGATTGCTCAAATTCCAGTTTTGATGGAGCTGGTTAATAATTCTTTGAGAAAGAGTTGAAGTGTATATTTATGGATCTCAGACTACTCACCAAAGCATTTTAAGCAGAGGTGGAATTAAGTCACATGACCGGTTTTCTGGTTAATATCTTATAACACTTTGGTACTTTGTGTGGGGGAGGGGTGGGAGTGCTCAAAGCTCAGAAACTAATGAATTATCTCCTGTAGCCTTTAAGAAGCTAGATGCCCTTTAGGTAACAGCCCACCTTCGTGGGGGGGCAGTATGTGCCAGGCACAGTGTAGGAGCCCTACCCTGGAGAAGTTTGCCCTCTGACCTCTTCCCTCTCTAGGACTCAATTTCTCCATCTGTGAATGCAGGAGCCGGATGAGCTCATCTCCACAACCCCTTCCAGCTCTTAACATTCTATGGTTCCCCAGGGATAATGGAGATTGATCATTATTTCAACATTACCAGGGATGAACTAGAACGAAAAGGGTAATCTTTCCATCAGGCTCAACAGACGGGCTGCAGTCATCTGCTAAAATATTCCAGTTCCTAGGAGGTATTGATGAAGATGATGATAATTCACATTTATGAGGGTCCTACCTGGTTCCACGGACTGTGCCGAGTGCTTTCCCGTGGATTAGCTTACTTACTTTTAAGTGACATGAAAGAGTCTTATGTTTGAAAACACTCAGATCTTAATTTTTTTCAAGTGATAGATGTTAACTTGAGCCCTTGCTCTGCTCCTCACTGGGTGGGTGACCTTGACCTTGTTCGTTTAACCGCTCAGAGCCTCAGATTCCTCTTCTATGAGATGAGACAGAAGTGGCCACCTCATCACATTGTTGCAGGGGTCAGATGAGAAACAGTGCATGAAGCCGCTCTGCCAACCATCAAGTGCAATATGCATACTAGTGGTTATTATTTAGCAAGTAGTACTGCCTACCAAAGCCTTTGGCGGAATTTCAAGAAATCCCTTGAAATAAAACAGAAATGTGTAATAAACCAATCTTCTTGTCTTCACACAGGGTGGCCTTGTAATGGACATCTCCTAGCTGAGATGCAGCCCAGAGTAGTTACGAACATGACTCTCAGGTGCCTACATGCAAACCCTGCCTCTGCTATTTCCTAGCTGCGTGACCTCAGGCAAAGCTCTTAACCTGAGTTTCCATTTCATCATCTGTAAAATGAGGATAGTAAGAGAGTTGATCGTCTTCATTCATGTACAAAGCATTTAGGAAAGGGCCCAGCACAGAGTCAGGACTTTGTAAATGTTACCTATTATTGTCATGATTGATAATTACTTTTATTACCTACTGCCGTAACAGAATTTGTTAATGTAGTATTTAAAGGCTCGACTATGTCTTTAACACATTTTTTTAGCATGGAGATAAAGGATAAAAGTGAAGACAGGATTTCTACCATCTAGCATTTCACAGTTCACATCTAGATTAGTTTGGCAAATATCCTTGAGCCCCTACCATGGATCACGCAAGG